TCTCGATATGCGAAGTGATGTGTCAAGAAAGTGTTATTAACGTTTTTAAGATAATGTAATGATAATTAAATTATGGCTAATTATCCGATTTTTCAACTAGATGCAATGCAATTACGCAATTTTTTTTATATCAAATGCATGTTTAATTGATTATTACTCTATATATAACTGATTCTAGTTAAATACATTTTTTCTATTCACACATTTTATGAGAATCATAATTACTGTACATTTATAGTTTAATCACTATCCGTACATATACAACAAAGTGGCAGCTAGTAAAAGGCATATAATCCTCCCATTTTTAAAAGATGGTCTTTCGTCTTGAATTGAACAAATTAACAAGTCCAATTATAACTCCATGGCACATTAATTCGAAGAACAAAATTTCCAAACGAAAATCAAAATACAATTTTTTTTATTTTCATTTTTATTTATTTATTTATTATTATTATTATTTTTTTATTTTTTTAAAAAGGTCAAATCTTGAACCAATGCCCTTTGACTGCAGGAGGTGGACCAACTTGAGGTCCTTAGGTGAAATCGTAGAAGGGACTTTTCGAGAATAATAAAAAAATAATGGTGCAATTGATTATTGATAAAAAAAAAAAAAAAAAAATTCTATCGGTGATTGCGATGATATTACTATCAGATAATTTGATATAAATAAATTAGGACCATGCTGTGTGTATACACGGCTTTACACTCCCCTCACATGGAGGGGGGCCGTGTGTACATCACGAGGTGTACATACGGCATTTTCCAATAAATTATATGCCAAGAATTACTAAAAGTGTTACGATTTTTCATTATCGACGAACCTTCTTTAGCAATTATCGACTATAATATCGTCGATGATATCGCAACTTCCGACAATGCTTTGGTCATCTTCGCCAATCAGAAGGTGTCAGTATAACCTACAAAATTTGTTCTTTTTATATTATCTTATAAGTGACCAACGAATAAGTTGAAATATTTTCTTATTTTTTCTTTTTAGTATCATTGACGGTTAAATTTATTTTTAACTATTGTTTTATTTCTAACAATATATTTAATTCTTCATTTTCATTACTTTATTTATTGACAAAATTTTAGCATTCCTCACAAAGTATTGTGCCATATGTTATTTTAACTGATCATGCATGTTGTAGCCCTTGAAATTTTCATAGCATTTGCATGTTGACCATGTCAAAATTTTCAATTTAGTGCGACCAAATGATCATTGTTACAGATGCAAACATTTTGGGCACTTAGATTATTATTGTATGCTTGGTACACGATTAGTACCAACTCCTCTTGCTCCTGTTGTTCCTAATGTTGACCATACTCCCCGGCTAGCTGTCGCGGCTAATGATAAAGGCAAGTGTAAAACGTGCTGACAATTAAATTCTACTTCTCACTACATCAAGTATTGAACAAAGTTCTAATTAAATTAATCACTGCGGATGTCAATATTAGTCTGGTGAAAAATCAATATACTCGCTAATAGAATTATAATTCAATAATTTTTCAAAATTAAATTACACCATTAAATTTTCTATATGCATTTAACTTGATAATTTAATCACGTTAAGATGACAATAACTTGCATAACTTTTCAGTACGTATGCGAAAAAAATTACTTTCGCATAAATAAAGCAATGATTATTAAGATACAAATATCTTAGTAATCACATATATAAAATTGCATTTAATAGATCAATTAAACTATGTAGAAGCATATATAACTTTCTGTCAAACTTAATGCATAGATATTACAAAGCTCATTGCACCCCAAGTTTAGATTAGTATGTGAAATAATAACTGAAAATGCAATATTGCGAAAGGAATCAAATGAATCTGCCTTCTGATCAAATAGGAATGTAAATTCAATTCCAAAATTCTATGACTTTGGTTATTATCTCATTTGTGTGCATAGAATTATTGAGACAATTGAACACATACAATATGTAAATAGATTATGTAACTCAAAATAAGAATGCATGTATCATCAAATGTTTAAATGCTAATTCTAACCAGAGTTTAAAATAGAATATAAAATGCACATAGAAATATGTCTTAAGATTGTTGGATAAATTGGTGCATAAATTATATTCCGTAAACAAAAATACGTGCATGCAAATATGAATAGAATTTTAACTTATCGAAATCAAAATTCAAGCACATATTTCAACTTACTGAAATGTTGAAATTCGAAACATATGAAATGAAGTGAGGTATGCTAATGTAAATCTCCTTAAGATGAATTTCGTTGCATTGGTGTTAATAGGATCAAATGGACGTCTATCTCACACTTCTTCCAAAATAAAATATAGCCTAATATTAATTTTGTCTAGCAAACCAACGCTTGACAAAACGGAAAATATACAATACAAAACTCAAAAATAATTTGAAATTAATTTGACATAATTTGTAGAAAGAAAGACTTAGAAATCAATAATATGAAATTAATTTTGAGTGAAGAAAATGGAATTAGGAGGATCCAATGTATAGATTTTCATGAGTCTATTCCAATGATCACGTTACTTGAAAAATTTTAGTTTGCCCATTAGATCGTACCATTTCATAATTGCTGGTCTAGATTGCACCTTAATAAAATGTCACAACTTTTTGTTATGCACCTTTTGCAATTGAAGAGTCGCATCCAATTGTTGCACTTATTGGAGAGTTTTCAAATTCCCACATTTAAATCGTATACATTAAATCATTAATTTCAACAAATTATAATAAGAAAATCCATTTTAATTAAATTGTTTTATATATTTAATCACATATATATTTTTATCTATAAATAAAGCGCTTGTTTGAACCCTATTTTTGTCTACGAATGTATTTTGGAATAGTGGATTGATAGAGAATGTTTGGTTAAAAAATAATAAAAAAAAAGTTTAAGTTTATGTGTAATATTATTTTATTGAAAAATGTATTTTGAAAATAATAAAGATCAAACAAAGTCTAAATTTACGATATCTATATGTATATATGTATGGCTGGACAAAACTCCCGAACCGAACCGAAATTGAACCAAATGGTTCCTTTTAAGTTAAATGCTCGAATGGATATAAGAATCGAGAACCGACGGGTTCGGTTTCGGCTCTAGATCAAGAATTGAATCTTCCTAAATTTTTAATTAATTTATTTTAAATAAACAAAATTATTTTATTTTTCTAAATAAATTTGTTAACTAATTAATTTAGTTCAAACTAAAAAATATGATTTTCCTATTTCTAATTTTTAGTTCAAAATCAATTTAATCAAATTGACATAAGTTTTATCCAAATCTGTTAGTTTATCATAGTATCGTTTTTATCGTTTTTAAAAAATCAAATTGAAGCTCGACAATGCCTTTCTTAATTATTTTGAGCTTGTTATCTTCCTATTTCTATTATTTTAACAATCAAGTCTATAAAGAATTCAGCAAAGAAAGACACATAAGATTGAACTACATTATTTTGTAAGAGCTAAAATTAAACATATCATTAATTGAATTAATTTAACTTTTGTAAATATTAAAAAATTTAATTATAATACGAAACTTGAGAACCGAATGGAACCGGACCATCTCGAACCGAACTGAACTGAACCAAATGAAACCAAACCCGAACGGTTCCAGAATTAAATTTGAACTCGACGGTTCCACTTACTAAATACCCGAAAATTCTCGAGTCCGAATCGGTTTTTGTTAGAATCAAATTGAATCGGACCATGTCGAACCCTATATGTGTATTTTAAACTATTGTTCAACAAAACTTCGATCTTAATTTTTAATAATTATTTTTAATTGCTATTTTTCTTATCGAAGGATTTTTCTGTTGGTTATATATATTTTACATTCTATTATTGCACTTAGTAATAGATAAATTAATTCCTTGTATGATTTGTACATGTAAACTCAATTTTTTTTCTTTTAAATCACATCCTTTGTTGGGGTGGTGTGGGTTGGAGTGGGGGTGCGGGGGGAACTCTATTACAAAATTCTTTGTTGAAAAATGAGGCTCGAATGAGCTGGAAATCTATTCACTGATTTATTCAATCACTTAGTCCTTGTACGACAAATCTATGTATGATTTATAAAATAAATAATAATAAATTCACGAAATATATAAATAATAACCAACAAATTTATAAATAATAACAAATTCATGAAATATATAAATAATACGCCATTCATTCCATAAAAAATAGATTTGCTTTCCATTTTCGCTTGTCAACAATTATAGGTCACTCTTCTTGTTGAAAATATGGTTAATTATTTTTTTAATAAAATTCATATTTTTAAGTATATTAATTATATATTTTTAATTTATACAAAAATAAAAATAAGGGTCTGTTTGATTACAAAGATGGAATTTGGGTGGAAAGAAAATGAATTTCAGGGAATTGAATTGCATAGAAATTATTTTTCTGGGAGTTGTCAATTTATTATGTTTGATTGATATAATTTTTTACGTGAAAAATGTTAAAATAAAAGTATTTTTTGGTATTCGTTTGATTTTGTTTTACATGAAAATTATCGATTAAATGGATAAAATTTACTGGTACTGAGGATATAATTTGTTTCCATTACCAAAAAAAAAAAACAAAACAAAAAATAATAAATCCAAGAAAATTATCTATCTTTTGGTGTTCGTTTGACTTTGTTTTACATGAAAATTGTCAGCTAAAGGGAATTTTTTTTACAATAATTCTTAAAATTTGTTTCCATTATCAAAAAAATAATAATTGCTACAGTAACCGGGAAAATGAATTCTCACCATATGGTGAGAATTCATTTTCCTTAATTAGATGGAAAATATCTATATAGCAACAAAAGCAAGAAAATCAATTTCATGGAAAATAAATGGTATCAAACACCATTAATAAAGTAAAAGATGAAAAACTTATTCTATTTTCCATGAAAAATGATCCAAACAAACACTACCTAGGTCTAACATGTGGGAATATCCTAATAAGTAACAATTAGTATTAATTATATTTAAGATTCTTTTCCAGTCCCACAATTGTCCATGGCTGTACCGCACTCAACAGTCAACAAGGTAAAATTAGATGTCCACCATTATCCCACGCTACTCCAGATTTCTACGCATTTTCTCTCCTCGAAATTCTCCCAACACTCTCCTTTGTTTACTCACCCAACTTCGTTGTACCAGCAACTGCTGTCGCACCGCCACTGTGCGAACGTTTCTGAGGCCATTTTCCTTCACGGGTCATTGCTTAGCTAACGACAGAGGGAAATTTTCGGTTAGGCTTTCAGCCATGTCGAACGCCGGAGGTGATGGTCATCAACTACTCCAATTCCAGCTGTCTCCGTCGAATCTGCTCAAGATACAGAAAGGCGACATCACTCAGTGGTCTGTTGATGGTTCCTCCGATGCCATAGTAAGAATTTGGGTCCGTGTATGTGTGTGTAAGGGCGTTGATTCATTGAAGTAATAGCTCAGCAAACTGTTCCCCCCTCCCCTCAATTTGTGTGCATGCGTTTGCTTGTGTGTTGAAGTTTGAAATTAGGGGAAAAAAAACAATATAGAAGAATGGATTTCGATTTTTTGGAGTCACTGTTGACTTTGAAATTAAAACCAACGAAGAGAGGAAAAATCGTTTATAAATGAATGAAAATTATATTTTCGATGGAAAAGTGAACTCAACGTTTTACTTTTGATATTTTATTAAATAAAATGTTGATGCACACTCATGTTAATGTAGAAGTATTTGGTGATTTATGTTCACCGTTGCTCTGTATTGATCTTGAAATCTGGTAAGCCAACTATGCTCAATAGGGATGATATGAATTCCATGGGAATATGCAAAACGACTAGTTTGTGAACTTGGTCACTCGAAGTAGAAAGTGATGGTCAGTTTTCAATATGATGCTTAAGTGTACTAATTTTCTGCCTTGGGTAACCAATAATCAAAATTTCAATTATATTATTTAGATGCCACTACTAGTAATTATAAATGAAAAGTTGAATCCCTTTCTGTGTCTGGATTCTTAGGATTTGCGGGCAGTCTTTCCAGGATATTGGGGTAAACCTCAATGTAATTGCGCTTAGAATTAACTTTGGATCATGTGGATCTTGACATGCTAATTGTCAAGCTTAGCACTCTGTGTTGAACTAGTCTCATAAAGTTGGTAGAAACTCATGTCCATTATCATTTTTATGTTGCAAGTATGAGCTCTAGCCTTGTAGGTGACAGGTCATTGTGAAATCGGATATGCACTTCCAAGTCATATATTGAGTGTAAAATTGTGTAAGAAAGTAAACGAAGGAAACAAAATAGAGTTTTTATGATCTAAAATTGAAAATGGTTATGTTCCTTAGAGGAGAAAGCTATTTCTACTTCATTTTGAAAAGGTGATTGTTCAATTGGAGACATGGTCCCTTAAAATTGGCATGAAAATTGGAACCAGTCTTTGAACTCTTGCTATCTCAGCCACTCGATTAGGAGGAAAAGATAGAAATATCACGTGTCTTATTTTATTGGAGTAATGTTGATGGCATATTAAAAACTTTTGAAATTGCATGTCAGGATGTTGGTGCGGTGTCAAAACACAATTGTAGGCTAAGAAGCACAAATTCGGATACATAATTTGGTACCATACGGTACAGGACGTTGGAAGAACATTTTCAAAAATATTAGGATACTTGGATACGAACAAATATATTTGTACTATTTTTCATAAATTAAATCACAAAATTCAATATAATGTCATTATTATTAAAAAATTATACAGATATGTATTAAAATTTTTAATACTATTAACTATTTCAATAATAACATTATACTTGTCAACTATTAGCATACTTTTACATGTATTGTTTACTTGCAATAATAGAACCCTAGTTGTCAATTAATTTAAAACTCTGATTTTAAATATTTAATAGTACTATTTCCCATACTAAGTTAAACTGTGCAGTTATCTATTATTCTAAAACACATTTACTTTCTTTGAAATTAACCTACTCAAAAAATGTTGGTGATTGAGGCACTTAAAACGTTGACCATTTTAATTTAAAAAATAAATAATAAATAAAATTGCTTAGGATTTGGCTGTCAACTTTCTGAGTGTTGTCTTCATATCCTTGAAAATAATGCTTGGGTTTAAACTGTCTCCTTCTCAATCTCTCTCTACTAGTGCAGTCACCAGCGATAGCCTCTTCCAGTTCAGTCGTCTGCAATGGCCTTTATCATTGGACTGATAGGCATGTTAATTTTTATGCGTTTTTTAGAGCACTTGCCATGATTCGTTATGTCCACGAGCATGTGGGATTAGGAAAAATAAACTAAAAAGGACATATGCCACGTGACATTTTCAAGATGTTGGAGTGTGTCCAACAAGTGTCAGTGTCCGATATCTGTCGGTTCAACATAGGTTGTAGGTGCCCATGCTTCAAAGCTGCTAATGGAGCATTCACTTTAGGTTAAACATCTTGAAATTTGAAGAGAGTAATTTCGAAAAGTTTTATTAACTGTACAGTTACGAAAATGAAGCACTTATTATCTTGGGGCTAAGAGATATGAAGGCTTCATATATGCTTTCACGCGTAAGATATCTTATTTGATGCATGACCTCTCCATATTAATGAAACTATTTGATTAGGAATGAAGATATAATGAAACTATCTTAGTCTAGTTTAGTTTATTGTAGTTTTTTAGTTTGCCTTGAGTTAGGGTTTCATTTTACATCTTTAGTTGTTTTCCTATTTAATTAAGTTGTTTAGATTCTATATAAAGATGGTACAATGGATTATAATAGTAAGACTTAATTATTGAATAAACTCATATTTTCTCCCTCTAAATTCTTTTTATTTTCTCTCCTTCCTTCTTTCTCTCTTTTCCTTTCTTTTGCAAGCTTTCTACATCAATTTGGTATTAGAGCAAGTCATTTTCCTTTAATCAAATTATCACTTTGCAAGATACGATGCATGAAAAAGTACTTTGCAACAACTACCATTCAAAAATTACCAGCCTACTAACCAGCCACCGCTAGTCTATAGGCCTACAACCACCTTTAACTGCTGAAGCCAACACAAAACCTTGATTTAAGACAAACTAGAAAATTTTAATAAATTATATAAATCAAACTATATTTATTCCTAATTTATTAGGAATTCCTTTTATCCTTATTTTCATTCTCCACCATATCAATTCCTTGTTGTCTTCATTTTTCTAAGATACCACCACGGCTACCTCTTGCAACATCATTTTATAGCTATCTTCTAACCAATTCCGTCATCTGAGAGTACAAAGGGTTTTTCCATGGTCGATTGTTTGGTCAATGATTACAATGTAGGTTTTGCTCATTTTTTTAGTCCTTGGTGGTATTGGACTCTTTATTTTTAGTATTATTTGGTCTTGTCAATTTTTTATTTTTATTTAAAAAAAAAACTATTTTTATAATTGCTTTTCTTTTGGCCTTGCTATGGAGGGATTTTTTAAAATCATTTTCAACCACAAATTCTATGAGACCTATAACTTTTCTCTACTTTTTAACTATATTCTCCAAAACAAAGGTTTTTCACATTAAAAATATATCCCAAACAAATTTCTTTATTTCTTTTACTTAGCTATTAGTGATAAAATACATCATATTGTTGCATTGTTGGGCTAAAATCAAATCATTTTGACCTGGCTTTAGAGTTTTCGTTCATATTTTGTGTCTTTATGATAAGACTCCTGAACCCAAAGAAAATATTAAACACACAATAGCAAGGAATGAATTCAATGGCTTATTCCAAAACAACTGAAAGATAACAAATCCAGGGCTATTGGAGAGGCCCTGTCTCTCCCCCCTTAATTGAAAATCAGAATGAAAACGTGCATGCCTTTTCCCTCCCCCAACCCTCATATTTATTTACACTTCCTACCACAATGCTATGACACTTTTACCCTTAACTAACTAACTTCAGTTGACTTGGCAAGCTCCTTCTTTCTTCTAGAATAGGTGAACCGGGCCAGGGGTCTATCATTACCTGTCGCTCCGAAATCCACCTTGTCCTCAAGGTGAAAGCTAGGGAATTATAGTTTGATAGTCTCAAACGGCTCCCAGGTTGCCTCATACGCTGGTAAATTCCTCCACTTGATTAAGATGTCAGGCCCCCCAGCTTTGTTGGTAGAATTAGGGCGAACTCCCAGGACAGATTTTGATTCCAGAATGAACTCTCCATTTGCTGACAGTTGGGGTGGAAGAGAGGAGACTGGTTGCAGGTTGCCCGTGGCCTTACGAAGTTGAGAGACATGAAAAATCGGGTGGATGGTTGCAGTTGGTGGAAGTTTCAGTTTGTATGCGACCTGGCCGACCTTTGATTCCACTTCAAACGGTCTATAATACCTCAGAGACAGCTTCTCAAAGGGAGGTTTAGCCACTGACTTCTGGCAGTGTGGATGGAGCTTGAGACAGACTACATCCCCTACTACAAGCTGAATGTCACGACAATGTTCATCTACCGATTCCTTCATCTTCAATTGAGCTCTAGAAAGCTACACCTTAAGCTCCTTCAAGGCTTCATCCCGGTCAAGCAACAGCTGTTCCACAGATGAGCTAGCTGTTATACCCTTCTTAAAGGCCAAATTTTTGGGCGATTCACGATCATACACAATCTGAAAAGGGGTGTGTTTAGTCGCGGTATGAAAGGATGTATTGTACCAAAACTCAGCCCACTGTAAGTATTGGCTCCAAACCCACAGTCTACTAGATGTAAAACACCACAAATATGTTTCCAAACACCTATTGACGACCTCCGTTTGACCATCGGCCTGGGGATGGTATGCGGTACTGTGCTTGAGAATGGTCCTCTGAGCTTTGAACAGTGTTGTCCAAAAGGTACTCATGAAAATCCGGTTTCTATCAGAAACAATAGAATGAGGCATGCTGTGTAACCGGACCACCTCTCGTATAAACACCTCCGTAATTGAAGGGGCAGTAAAAGGGTGCTTCAACCCAACAAAATGCCCGTATTTACTTAGACGATCCATGACAACCAGAATGGTATCCAATCCACGTGAACGCAGGAGCCCCTCAATGAAATCCATTGAGATATCCTATCAAACTAACTCAAGTACTGGCAAAGGCTACAAGAGACTAGCTGGGGACAGTGCGAGGTACTTATTTCTTTGACAAACTTCACATTCCGCCATGTACTCCTTCACCCTCTTTTTCATCCCCTGCCAATAAACTTCTCGACAACATGCTTGTATGTCTTGAGAAACCCCGAGTATCCCCCGACTTGTGTCATGGCACTCTTGCAACATAAGTGTCACATAAGGCGAACTGCTGGGCAACACTAACTTACCATGGTAACACAACATGCCATCTATCAATTCATAACCCGCCTTCACTGGAACTCCCCCCTATATGTCTTGCACTAGTCTTCCCAACTTCTCGCCTGTAGCCACCTCCTTCTTGATCTCCTCAAGTTGAAGAACCTTAGGAGTGGTTAAAGCTAAGCATTGCAGGGTTGGCCAAATTCTGAAAAGTGCGTTTGCCACTTTGTTCTCCAATCCCGGGAGATACTGGATGTTGAAGTGGTAACCCATCAGTTTAGTGAGCCATTTCTGGTGATCCTCATTCACCAACTGTTGCTCCAATAAAAATTTCAAGCTTCGCTGATCAGTCCGAATGACAAAATGTTTGCCCAACAGGTAGTGACGCCACTTTTGAATGGCAAACACTATGGCCATTAACTCTATTTCATAAACTGACTTCTGCTTGGCACTCTGCGGTAGTACTTTGCTGAAGAAAGCAATAGGATGGTTGTCGCATTAGCGTTGCCCCTAGGCCCTGAGTGGAAGCATCGGTCTCAACGACGAATTGCTTTGAGAAGTTGGGTAGTGCCAGCACGGGCACCCTGATTATGGCAGACTTGAGGTCCTGAAATGCTGTCTCGACGACCTCATTCCATTGGAAACTGTCCTTGAGCAACTCAGTTAGGGCCAGGGCTGTTGGAGAGGCCCTGTCTCTCCCCCCTTAACTGAAAATCATAATGAAAACGTGGATGCCTTTTCCCTCAACCAATTCTCATATTTATTTACACTTCCTACCACAATGCTATGACACTTTTACCCCTAACTAACTAACTTCAGCTGACTTGGCAAGTTCCTTCTTCCTACTAGAATAGGTGAACCGGATTGGGGGTCTATCACTTTAGTAGGTGATAATTGCAATTATCTGGAGTATTTGCATTGGCCCAGCATTCCACTCATATTTGTCACCACTCACCACCATGCACAATGCATGTAATAACTCTTATAGCTACATCCAGACTATAGATCAGTACCATCATCAAGCAGATTATCATCATTCTAGGGACAATGTTGGAAACACCAATTATATTACTAGGCAAGTCAAATTAAAATCATGGAACTTTGATGGTTGTTCTGATCTGGAGACGTTTCTTGATTTACTCGATAATCTTGAAAAGTTATCTCACTTTTACAACATTAGTGACTCATTGTATTTGTCATGCTAGTGTGTCACTTGTAGGTTCCACTAGGCATTATTGCCGGAGTCATATTTGCGTGACATTGATCGTGTAGGTCAGTGATGAGATGAAACAAATATTGAGTAACAAATGTGCCCTTTTCTATCATTGAACTCAGTTGCCAGATTAATTCTTTTTATGCCGTAAGCAAGGTATGTTCACTTTTAGTGATATAATGACCCACTTTGAGGAGATATTAAACAGTTGTGATATTTATGAAACTCCCTATATCTCAGCTTCTAGATTTCTCAAAGAATCTTGAGATCAGTCTTGACAACATATCTAACACCTACTTGGATGAGGCTTATTGTCAGGCAATCATGGACATGTTAAATTTCGCAAAGCATATCATAAACTAGCATACCACCTCATTCCCGACAATTACACCCTAAATCCAGTAGTGAGTCTAGTTGTGTTACCCCTCTCCAAAAAACATCGCGTGTAACTCATGTGCCTACGATTAAGCTTAACCTCATTCAGGGTTGTGTGCCTCTTGTGCCTAACACTTATCTAATGAACCACAGGCACTTAATTTAAGAGATCAACATTAACCTCCACATTGCATTATTGGAAATAATCAATATTCCACTACATATATAATATATTTAAAGCATAATGATACTTTTATGTAAACATATCACCTATCAGAAAGGAGGAAGTACACAATTTATACATGCGTACAACCTGCACACGCCTAAAAACTATTCTATATTTTAGAAGAATTCCATATTAAGATGTGAAAGTCATATTCTGTCCATTGTTTTGTCAAACCCATTACTTTAGTTGTTTCATGCCCCAGTATAGACATGTTTATCTCTCACAATGCTTGTCTTCTACGTTGTTAAGTACATTGCATGTCTATTTGAAGTGAAACATTAGTCTAGGACTAGTAATGAGTTTGGGTATAAAATTGTGAAGTGACTGTAATTTCCAGAAAGGAGTATTTAGATACTTCTCTCAGATGGGATGACCAGGATGTTATCTTGTTGGTGATCACATGTAGACAAATACTGGCCCATTGCCACCAACTCACAATCCCCTATTGCCTTGTGGATCCAACCCTTTGTGGTGAAGCTCTTAAAACCCTAAGGTTTATGTGAATAGAACCATGGCACAGAGGGAAGGTTTGCCTTGCCTTTAATAATAGCAATCACATCACACATGCCTGACTAAATCATCTACTCTGGTAGGACAGCACTTCTGTTGCAGCTGGTGAAGTTGCTTGTTGCAGATGCAATTTGAAAATTTTCATTGTTCTTGATAATGCATAATAGCGTATGAATGCTTGTCGGCATGAAAGGTGGCCAGAATTAACACATCATTTGGATACTATTACTAGTTTTATCGAAAGAGTGAATCTGCTTTTAGGATTTAAATACTCAAATCACAAGTTGAATGATTGAAAATTTTGCTGTTATGCCTCCAATGAATTGCTTATGCGATCAATTTTTACAGCATCATCCAGTTATAACTTCTAATTTGGAAGTAAAATTTGTCAACGATTCAACTTCCAGTTACATGTTAATTTGTTCCCGAGTTGAATGCTGTTTCCTTGTTGACTGGTTTATCTCATAGGTCAATCCAGCCAATGAACGAATGCTTGGAGGTGGTGGTGCTGATGGAGGTAATTATGTCAGCATTACTGATAAAAGTTTTTGAGTGCACTATGAGTCATTTTTACTCATTTTATTCCATTTTTCTTTTAGCTATACATCGAGCTGCTGGTCCAGAATTACGGGCAGCGTGCTATGAGGTCCCAGAAGTACGACCTGGAGTTCGCTGCCCCACAGGAGAAGCAAGGATTACCCCGTATGTGCTTCTTGCTCATTTTATTTATATATTATCGGAGAAAATATTGCCTCCTTATTTTCATCAGACAAACAGTGATATATGCTAACATTTTGTGACCTGTAGAGGCTTTCGGTTGCCAGCCTCTCACGTTATTCACACAGTTGGACCAATTTACAAAGAAGATGAAAACCCCGAAGCCTCTCTGAAAAATGCATATAGGTACTTAAGTGATCTTGCTGCCAGCCCCCTTGAGACAAGTGTAATTTCTCATCATAGCTGAAATTTCCTTTCTCCTAAATGAAATTTGTTACAGAAACAGTTTAGTTGTAGCCAAAGAGAACAACATTCATTATGTTGCATTTCCTGCCATATCATGTGGAGTCTACGGGTATGTTGTCAGAGCTATGTACTGGTTCTTTGACTGTTTGATTAGGGAACGTAAGCTACAGTAATGTGTAAACACTGCCAAGACTCTAATCTTGTTCTTTCAGATATCCTTATGATGAAGCTGCCTCTGTGGCCATATCTGCGGTCAAGGAATTTGCAAACGACTTGAAGGAGGTACCGCTTGTTTGATGATTTCATTTCTTTTTCTCTCTTAACTTGCCTTCGACCAAAGTGCTAATGAATATTGTTGTAGGCTCTGAATATTGCTGTCTATGCTGCTTGCAGATGAATTGTGGTTGAAAAATGATTTAGCCTTTATTGTACAGAAACATGATCATATACATTAACCTCAAACAGCAGACTCCACCCATCTAGGTTTTATCGATTTTTTCTTTCTGTCTTATTTTATTTGTTTTAGGTTCAATTGTCACGAACTGACAAACTTCTAAAACCATTAGGATAATGACTTACTTTCTAAATCCCAAAACATCCAAAACCAATAAAGGAAGACACTAGTAGCTTATGTCTTGAAAAACAAAACTTTACGTTAATGCCATTAAGTGAAAATGACAATTGGAGGTGAATTGCTCAATTTCAAGTTAGTTGCATGTTCCCTTGCAATTGTGCCCGGGCAAAAAAGTCGAAAAACGGATCAAACCAATTAAATCGAGCTGACTCAAGTCGGTTTGACATAGGTAATTGGTTTGGTTGGGTTTTATTTTAAACAAAACCGTTGTGGGTCGGTTCAGTTATGGTTTGAATTTTCAAACCGTTGGTTAACCGAACCAACCTAACCCACTTATATTTTTAAAAAAAAAAAAAAAAAAAAAGATCTAATCTCGTAACTATATTTTGATTCCATCCAATTTATGATGTTGTCAGTAAGTAATAACATTGAGAATTTTCTTTCGCAAGTTCATTATGTTATACTTAGTATTTTTCTTTAATCAGGCAGACAAACTTCATAACACATAGAAAAAAAACAAAATTTTTAAGTTTTATGTTGATTCTTCTATTTTAACTTGATTTTATTTGTTAGTCAATTGTTCTTGTAATATAAAATTATTTGGTTATTTTACTTCTTGTAATCTAAGTGGGCCCAAAACTTAGATAATTTAAAAAAAATAAATTCAATTTGGAGTAAAATCCAAACCGACAAACTGAATTGATTCGGTTCGGTTTGGTTTGGTTTGAGAACTAGAGTGGGTTGAAATTTATCCAAACCAACTAATTTGGTTTTGATTTCAGATAAGAGTCAAAACTAACCCACCAACCCAAATCAAACCACGCCCAAGCATACTTGCACTAAGGTAGTCATCAAGGAGTCAAAAGTTTGGATGTAAAATGCAATTCCCCAATAGAAAACACTTATCGTATGTATATATATATCCAATCAAATAAGGAACCCTTCGATGAATCTAGGTCCAGACGTTTTAACGAGTACCAAAATTGAACGAAATCAGAGGTTTCAGTCCAGTTCCCAAAAAATTAAATTAGGATCGGAACCAAGAATAGATTGGGTCTGAGTCGATTATTGGTTCCTGAACTAGAACCGTGAGTATCCGAATAGAACTAATTTTTTATATAATTTGTTATTTACAATTTATAGGCTAGGTAAAAAAATACAAAACCTAAAAACCTAATTTGGGTAGTAATTTGTCTAAAACTCTAGACTCTAAGCCTAAGAAATCAAGATGGACTCCCACTTTTTGGCATCTCGCCTTACATCATATTGTTGCATTTCAAAGGTTAGTACATATTAATCTTTGTAATTTAGACTTTTTATGAATAAAAAATTCAATTTAGTTTATGGTATAGGTTGATGAATCAAAGCGTTCATTCTTTGTAATTCAAGCTCTTTACTCTTGCATTGTTTACAAAGTGATTTTTAATTTTTTTTTTTCATTAACACATGGCTATTGAACTTGATATATATTTGTAGCTTGGGCTGTGAAGTGCCTTTTCTGTTATATTGAGTTCATGGTTTTCTTTTGAAATATAATTTTTTCTTTTTTACTTGAAAAGAGCGAGTTCAATAGGTGGTCTGCAATTTCTTAATATTGCATAGTTATGCATCTAATTAGTATTTTCTATGTCAGCTTGTTGTAGGAGTAGAAGAATTTAAATATTGTCAAGTATTAACGTATTAGGAATATGTATTTAAAGGGGTCTATAAGGGAATCTTATGGGTAGAACCGAACCGACGGTTCGGGTTCGGGTTCGGGTTCGGGTTCGGTAATGACATAGACTCGAATGGTTCCATTTGCGAAATACCCAAAGTATAATATGTGGTTCGGGTATTGAAATACTCAAATTGATCCACCCGACACCGAAGCCTAGATGAATCTTTAAAAGAAGGAACATAATCTACCTTTAAAAATTAATAAACCATTGTATTATCTCAATTTAATCAATAGAGCCTTTCCAATCTTGGTTAACCATTCCTTTCTATTTGACAATCAAACGCGGGAGAGAACAACATCCTTTCTATTTAATAGTATATCCATAATTTCCCTGCAATAATTTTAGAATGTTTTTACCCAGCTTGGAGTTGAGTCTGCACACATCCATTAGGCTCCTATGTTGCCTGCTATCCTTTCTTCGTCCAATGTCTTCGGCCCCTGCCTTCAGCTCCTTCAACATCTGTCTTGTCTCTGGCTGCTTCAGAACCCTGTCGTCTTCACATGTGAGACTGTGTGCAGCTGCTTGTGGCAGCCCGTGGCCCTTTTGTTGTTGGAAGGTGACATCTTCCTATGTCTATTGAAGAGATGCTCATGTTCCTTAGGAGTATGAGACTTGCACAACATAAATTTTGTGAGTGGGAGGAAGGGAGATTCCTGAATCTTCTAAGATTTTCCAAAATCTTGAGTCGAAAACTTCTATGCAGTAGTCTTGAAGAAGGAAAAATGTGGAGACAATATCCTCTTAGATATTTGAAAATGTCTTAGTCTAGTGAGAGCATTGCCAACTTCTCTCAATTTTGAGTTCATCCATATCCAATATCAAAAAGTATCCATGCCTCGTTGTAGGAACTGCATTGTGCAGACAAGTATGCATGAATCATACCGCAGTGTTGCTGCAACATAACTAACATCAAAATCTAGTCCTCTAATTGCCACTTTATAACTCACAAACTTGGAACTCTTGTAAGTCCTATATTCTTGGCACAACTTTATATCATACAAATAAATGTGATCCTCTCGCCTCCCTCCGCTGGTATGATAATGAATCCTTAATTTAGCTTTCCCTCTATAAAACTACCCTTCATGCAGCTGATGCAGCTTTTTTCACATGAATTCTATAGAAATAGCTGATTTTAATCATAAAAGGTGTCATGAAATCTGAGATGGTGGTGTTCCCTAGAAGACCAGTAATGCATGATAATTAGTAAATGGAGCTGAAGGTTTCTAGCCTCAATTGACGATAGGTATATACACTCATGTATAGATTAAAAATCTCAGTTGCACGGACACTTAAATTAGGGTGGTGTGTCTGTGTGTGTCTGACACATGTCCGATACCATCGCTCCTTGAACACTTGCCATGGTCATTTTTCCCTCTTTATTAGAAATATTATATTTTTTTAATTCAAAATTATTATTAAATAACAAATAAGTATTTATATTTAAAAGATTTTAACAAGAAAAATAAATAACTAGTATAAAACTAAATTTATACCATGTAAATGAAGAATTTTAAAAAATTTAATCAACGTATTGGCGACGTGCTGTGTCAGTACTTTCATGAAAAATCGCGTCAACGTGTTCGTATTAGTGCTGCATAGTTAAAAACCAGTTGTTCACAAGGCATCCCTTTTGTCACTTTTTCTAGTAGCTGAATGGCTTTGTGAAAAACATCGGCTCTATGTAAGCAGAATTAATGATTCAATATTGTCTTTTCAGGTGCACTTTGTTCTGTTCTCAGATGAGATTTATGATGTTTGGTCGAAGAAGGCTAAAGAATTACTCCAAAATTCATAAATATGCCATATGTTGAGTATTGAGTAGACTGTGTATAAGCAGACTGCATTACATGATGCTATTGGTGTGGTTTTCCCAAAATTATAATAAAGAAGCATCTTGCAGGTTGGAATCTTTTTTTTTTTTTTTTGGGAGTTCCAGTGGTTTGAAGCATAAGTTTCTATTTCTAATCGTATGGAATCAGCGTTGATGCCATATAATGAAATATCTGTGATGGCTAATAAACTTTATGTATCCCAACCTTGTGGATTTATAGATGCATACATATAAAATGCTGCAAGTTTATGCATTTGGTTGAACTGTTCAACGAAATGCATAAACTTGCACAGAGTAGCCCAAAATGCAAATATCCGATCTAGAAAAGGCATGTTTGGGTGTTTGGTTTAATTTATAAATAGATAAATAAAGTGGTAGATAATTGAGTATTATTTGTATGTCTAAAGAAATGTATAGATAAGAAGTGATTTGACCAATTATAAGAAAATTATCCGAACAAGTGCTAAATGGGCTGAAATATTTTACAAATTAAATATATTAAGGTTGCAATTATATAATTGATGGTCATAGGTGCGTAGTGATGTCAATGGTCCGGGCCGTTGCGCTTGTGGCGAGCCGAGCTCAAACTTGGCTCGTTGATTTTGGGCGAGCTCGTGGACCGAGCCGAGCTTTGGCTCGTGGGCTCGTCTTTTTAAAAAAAAATAGAGAAAAACACAAATAAATGAAAATACTTTTAAAAAAATTAAAAGTGTTAAAAAAATACAAATAATTTAATGAAGACACTTTTTTATTTTTTTTATTTATATCATATTGTATTTTTTTTATAAAGTATAAAATATTTATATAATGAAGACGAATTGTTTTTTGAAATACATTTACAAAAAATATAATTTTTTATTTCTTTTTAAAGTAGATAAAACGTAAATCATCCTCCTTTATTCGAGTTTGGGACTGGCTACATCAATTTTAAGTAGGCAGAGTTAAAAATTGTACACGAACAACTTGTTGTAACGTGTACAATTTTTTAAAGAAAATTAAATTTAACGATTAAAAAATAAGGAAATTTTGATTAATAGAATTAAATCAAATATCACTTACCTGATAACATACAATTTCAGCGTATTTATTTTGTAGTCGAAAGTGAGCGTCCTACTAATCCTACACGCACATTAACGCTTCCAAAACATCTTCTTTCAGTCGGCTTCTAATATCGGTCAAAACCCTTTTACCTGCATTAAAAGCAGTTTCCGAAACAATAGTGCTAATCGAAAGTGTCAGCAGATCTTTCACAATTGCAGAAACAATTGACCAATATCTTTCATACTTTCGCTAGAATTCAATTACTTCTTCTGAATTTTTTAATTGTTCTGTCTGTTGGCATATTATGATTGAAGTAATCAATTAATTCGACAGACATCACATTTTGAGTTTCGATCGATGTTTGATGAGATGTAAATGTAGACGATATGGCATTAGATGAACACATTATAGTTGCATCATATCTAAATGTATTAATGCCTTGAAATAAATTCATTATTTAGGCATCATCTTCTTCAATTTCAACCGAAAGAGTAGGTACAGAGGGTACCTGACTAACACTTGCACTCATTCTTTTCGCATATAAATCATACATTTTACATAATGTTTGCTCTAAATTCTTATAGGTGATAGGTGTATCAAGTATTAAGGTTTTATTGATTTGATCAATTATGTATTTAGTTCCCGAAATATTATATCGGGAGTCCATTGCGCATACTAAAGGAAATAATATAGTCAGTTCTTCCCAATATTTTCTAAACTTTAATTCCATAACAATTATAATTTCACTAAAAGCATGATCATTTTTATATTTATGGAATGTCCTTGCAATTATATAAAAGCGTTCAAGCACCATACAACTTGTGGGATAATAAATACCGGATAAAATATTTGTGGTCTCATAAATGGATGTCAAAAATTGTTTAACTTTCAAAGCTAAGACTCAATCGAATTCATTTAACATACCATTGTCATCACTTCTAACGTATCTATTATTAAAAAAGTCAGTTATTAAATTTTCAAAAACTTCACATGACTTTAATAGCAAGTAAGTAGAGTTCCATCTATGTCCTACGCCGCTCACAAATGTTTTAACAGTCGTCACCTCTAGTTTGGCACAAAAATCTTCAAATACTTGTTTTCTACTAGGAGATATCGTAATATATACTAATGCATTCCTAATCCTTTGAAGTTCATCATTTATATGTTTTAAGCCATCTTGAACAATTAAATTCAAGATATGACACACACAACGAATATGAAACAAATACCCACCAAAATCAGGTTAAAGTGTCTTACACAATTTATCGACGATTACCTTATTAACACTAGCATTATCAAAAGTAAAAGACCGAATTTTAGTCTCGCAATTATATTCTCTAACAATACTGATAATAACACTATATATATTGTTAGCATTGTGAGGAAATTCAATAATTTTAAAAGAAATAATTTTTTTATGCATGCACCAAAGTGGGTCTATATAATGTGCGGTTGAAACTATATATGCTCTTTTATTAACCCATTTCCATATATCAGAAGTTAAAGATATGACACCCCCATATTATTGCAAATTCATAATTAATTGTTGTTTTGAATTATTGAAATATTGTATTGTATCGGCACGAAGAATGTTTCGACTTACCCCAACGTACCTTAGTTGCAAATATTCTTTCATGAACGAGACGAAGTGTTGGTCATCTGCAATAGTCAGAGGCAACTCAGTGGCGGCAACAAATTACACCATTTCGGTTCGAGTATTGTCCTCCAAATACACCCACGTAGATAGGGGTGAAGTCGTAGAATTGGCGCCTGGACTGCCAAATTGCAATTGTGTTTGACCAGCTGGAAGAAGTCCATGTTTGACCGCACATACTTTGTAGTAGCAGTTGAAATGGGTGGTACCAATTCCTTTTTACCATGCCAATCTTTGTTGGTAGTATTTACATATTGCTTTAGATTCTGTAAGGTCATCGACAACTTTTCCCGTTGAAATCAATTTAAAGTGATCCCAACATTTTGCTTGTTTTTTGCCCTTTTGCTTTTCCCTCGCATCTGAAATGTTTAATTCGACATTTTTGTCCTCATGTTCCACTTCGAGAACGTTATTATCATCCAAATCAATTGGATTGTGGCTTTCCTGACCGTAAATGTGAACATCTTCAGGTATGGGTACGTCATGTAGACCGACAAATTCATTTGAAAATTGACTTTACGACGTCTTAGGCGATTCTCTATGATGTGGCCCACATCCCGTATCGAATAAGCTCTCAACAAATGAGCTTTGGTCTATTTGTTTGATTGTTTATGATGAAATTCAAATATAATAACTAGAAAAATATAAATATAGTGAGATTGTGAGAATTGGATGAATTGAAATTGTAACTTATAAACTGTAAAAATTGAATCGATATCGTATATTTTGCAGCACAAGAGAGTAAAAACTCGATAATTGACATAATAAAAGAGAGTTGAGACTTGAGAGAGTTAACATAGTGATTGAGTAATTGATATGAAAAAAAAGGGTGTTAAGGGGTATTTATAGTAGAAGGGAAAAAAATAAAAATAAAAAAATTCAGTGACTGTTCCGATCACTGAAAAAATGATCGTTTTGGTCACTATAAATAACGAGCCCACGAGCAGCTCGTCTCGGCTCGCCTCCTGCCAGGCTCGCTCAACTCGCGCTCGTGATTTTACAAGTCCGAGCCGCCCACGAGCCCTTGGCTTGACCCTTTTGACATCCCTACATTTTGGTCGACTATTTCGTTAACTAACAAGAAAAACTTGAAATGTGCACCCGTGCTAGACCTGAAAACGAACCAATCCAAAGCACTTGTTACTGACAAACTGAAAACTGGATCCAGTCTAGTAAAATCATTCAACCATAGAGGAAGCCTACCAAATTTCTTAACTTCAAACCTCTCAAAAAGAATGGGGATGGATTCAAATTCAAACTTAAACTCAAACTCGAACGCCAAAATGTAGAGATGTATCTCCTTCTCTAAGGCCAACAATCCCATCCCAAACTTTGGGATTTTCTGATGAAACACCTCCTCATTTGAGGACAGATCAATGAATATTAGCACTAGAGGAAGGCTGGATATTTAAAATCGATCCCTACCTCAGAAGTAAGATTTAAAGTGTGTTTGGCCCCCATTTTTTTCCAATTTTTCCTCCAAAACTCATTCGGCTACAGTAGTTGCTGACAGCATGCAATGAAACTTCAAAAGAAATGTCAGGGGCAAAATACCGTTGAAAATTTATGGACAATTTCAGCCTCAAAAACAATTGCATAATTTACATCCTTTCCCTCCCTTCTTGCAATCCACTTGCCGCCAATTGAAGGACAGATTTGGCAAGGAAGAAATTTCAAATACATCTTACAGCTTTTGTCAGAAAACCTGTCTCTTTTGTCTACCCTATGGTCCACACCCGTTGAAAAATGTGGTGAAAAATGAGATGAGAATTAGAATAGAATGGGAATCAAACAGTCGCTTAAATCCTAAGGCTAGGAAACAATCATGCTCTCCAAGTTTGACTGGCGGAATGAATTGGACAATGAAGGAAAGGTAGCTAATCAAACAGTTGCTAAACTTCAACGAGGAAATAAAGGCCAAGCATTGGGAAGTCGCATGGTCGAGAAATTAATGAATGCAAGAATATTGACCGCTGAAGAAAGACAACCAAGGAAAAAAAAAAAGAAGAAGAACGGTTCTCCAAATGTGAGTTTTGAATTTGGGAGGCTGATGTCCAAGAGTTTATTGATATGACTCTAAAGCATATGTTATGTTCCCAAATTCTTTTATAAGTCGGAATATAGTCATTTTACCTTCTAATCTCTTCATGGAGTTTTGAATTGCAGGAGTTTCAAAAAGAATTGACAAATTCTCATAAAAATGAAGTTGTCACTGGAAGAAAATCTTGAACCATAAGAAACACGTCTCCAAGTTCATAAGTTATGGAAAGTGAGCAGATGTAGGTATGAAGCAACATGAAGGTCGGAAAATAGAGTAGTATAAAAAGGAAAATAAAAGGTCTTAATAGAGAAAAGTCATCAAGAAACATAGTATTTTTCTCCCTTGCAATAAATGGTAGATTATTATGGCAGCAAAAGTACGAAAGATGATTAATACATTTAGAAACTAAATGAACTAAGCCTTGTTTAATCAAACCATACATGCCAACTTTGATGAAACTATAAAACTAATAATAATCCCACCCATAAAACATAACATAATTATTAACTACATAAAATACAAAAATCGTCCCTAAGCCACTTCGGTCAACTTACCGTGTGCGCAGGCTAACTTGATTTGCATGTCGAGCTGCGATCAAGCTCTGTCCCTCTGCGGGTGATCCCATGTCTATAACTCCAACTATGACTGCATCAACAATCCACAATGTCATAGCAATGTTTAAAAGAAATAGATGGATTAAGCTTCTCGATATTCTCTTCCTGATTTTGTGCTTTCTAACTCGTTTCAAGTTCAATTACACATTTAAAAAATATATATATAAAAAATAAAAAATTCCTTTTCACATTTCCTAGTAACTTTTCCCTATTTTTAATCACTTCATCAAAAAATACAATTCATGTAAAATTACTTCTCACAATATCAACTTGGCTTAATGAATGAATTGAAATCTCATGAGCTGGCCCTTTGAGAAAGTAGATGCTTTCTACATTGCCGCGTCAAGCGCCCATCCTAATTTGTGTTATATAGCCCCTGTTGATGATCATTATTGAAAAAAAATGATGGATTGAATAGTGATTTTTTAGAGAATGTGAAATTAAAAAATAAAAAAATGTTTTGAGTTTACGTGCAAAATATCTTCTTTTGTGAATGTGTGATTGAAAATGATTATCAGAATAAAAAAATTATGTTTTAAAGGAGATAAACATGACCTAATTCCAATCTATCCATTTTGAGAAATGCTCTGTGTCTCACAGGTTTTTTCACAGGGCCTTTTACTGTGTAGGAGTTCCACATGTATTAAAAATAATAAATTTACGTTGGGTCCATGTATACGTGTGGCCTACAGGTCCTATAAGCCTAGCATCTCTCTTCCATTTTAGGTAGAGTGTAATAATGAAAATTATTGAGGGGCAAAATTGAGAAAAAAAGAGTGCCAAATTCCCTAGGGTTTTTATTTCTGACAATTGTATATAGAGATCTGCAAACATTCAGCTCCAAACGTTAGGATTCGTATCGTGCCAACCTTTCTTCCCAGCGTCCATTTCTTCAAAACTGCGTCTCTAAAATGGTACTCTCCTTTTCTATTTTTGTTTGAGTATGTTATTCAATCGATTCGTGGAATTTTCGATTCAGTATGATTAATGAAGTGTAAATGCTATGTTAAAATTAAAAACGCTTTTCTTCTTTCATAATTTATTCTGAAATCATATTTTTATTTTTGAGTTTTTAAACATGAAATCTGGGTTACCGTTTATTCGTGAATGCACATGTTTTGGTCTGTGTTGTAATGTAAATTTTTTTTTGTAGGATTTTCGTGTACGGTAATAGAGAAATTTGTTGAAGTGTGTGTATCTTTCTGAGCATATGAATGATTAGTGATTTTTTAAGTGGATGAGCTGAACCTGCATGACTAAGTGGAAGTTTTCTTAAATTGTTCCTGAGCTTTTGAAATTTAAAACAGGGTTTTCATATTATTTGGGAGCCTTGTTAATGGAAGTTATGTTTTGAATTTGAAATCAAGCATATATTGGGATTATGGTACGAAAAACTAGTATTTTGGACTGTTATTTTTCTCGTTTCTTTCAATTAACTCTGGCGATGTGTTATCTATCCTATCCCTGCTGCGTGAAAGGAAATTAACGACAGTGAATTATAAGAAGTTAACTAATGTTTTTGTTTCTTTTTGCTGATTCCTTTGTTTCGTTATGTGATACTCAGCCAAAGCAGATTCATGAGATCAAGGACTTCCTTCTCACGGCCAGAAGGAAAGACGCACGTTCCGTGAAGATCAAGAGGAGCAAAGATGTGGTGAAGTTTAAGGTTCGGTGCTCCAAGTATCTCTACACCCTCTGTGTCTTTGATCCCGAGAAGGCTGACAAATTGAAGCAATCCCTTCCTCCAGGTCTGTCATAGACTAAAACCTTGATGTTAAGTAAAAACTATTGGATGCTTAACCGAAATTTTGCACTTGCCACTGGATAATTTGTCATTATAGACCTAATTAGATCTCCAATAACTACATTTTAGTTAACTATTCTATATGGAATGTTTTTAGTCGGACTGTCTTCGTTCGATAAAGAAAACTAAAAATTGATTGATATCAACTCTTATTGAGTTTAAAATTCCAATGCTGAAGGTGTATATATTTTATCTTGGAACTGTTAGCCTTTGCTTGTCAGTATTTTGTTTAATTAGGTTCGCCTGGGAGCAAGTTGCGAATTCTATAAACAAGAATAGATAGCTTAGTTTATGGGTGAAGTTTAACGTTTTACTTAATTTGTTTTTTGCAGGTTTGAGTGTGCAAGACCTTTGAGTCAGAATTTGTCATCTTAAGAGGATTGTCCTTGAAAGGAATAGTTTGCTTGAATTTTGAGATTAGTTGCAAGACTTTTGAGTCAGAATTTGTCATCTCAAGAGGATAGTCCTTGAAAAGGAATAGTTTGCTTGAATTTTGAGATAAGTTGAAAGACTTTTCTGAACAAATTCCTTTAAGATTGACAAAACATGCTTTCGGTTTCTTTGGCATCTTGTTTAGCCTTTTGAGTTTGCCATTTTGCATTTAATTTCTGTTTGGGACTTGTGTGTGTCAATTTCCGACAAGACTCTTCTAGCTAGACCGACAAGTAGTTGCAGAACCTGCAATTACGGTAGTTTCTAGTTCGTTGTTCATTATGATTAATGCTGTGTTTAGGTTTTCTCTACCGTTGTTCATTATGAAGAAGAAAGCTGTTGACATTTGCAATTTTACTGCATTTTACAAGTTTGGGAGTATGAAGTATGGAATGTTTGCTTAATGTCCTATATTGCTTTGAGCATTGGTAGAGAAAGATGTTGTGCCATGATAGAGTGGGCTATATTCAAATGTTATTAATAAATATTAAGTTTATATTTGGTCCCAATTTTTTAAAGTTGTTTGTCTTCAAACTAATTTTTAATAACTAATTTTATTAATTTTTATCAAAATATATTAAAAATTTAATTGTTTTTCAAGCTAGGGGCTCAATTTGGTCAACCGGTTATATTTCCATCCCAAAAAGGTTAAAAGCTTGTTTGATAAACTCAATTGGCACGACAGTTTGCAATTGATTACTCAACTTTCTTTTTTAATTACTAGTGGCATTACATTTGTAAAATTCTTATTGATGGTCACCCTATTAGTTCGATTGCATAAAAATAAGGGAATAGATTGGGCAACATTTTAGTGTTTGATGCAAAGTGAATTTTATGAAAGATGTGATTAAAAAGTAATGGAAACTTGTTAAAAAATATATAAAAATAACATATTTTTTTAAAAATGTGTGATTAAAAATGAATGTCAAAGAAATGTTCAAATAATGACTGATTAAATAAATAAATTTGACTAAACTTTAAATCCAAAAATTCACTTCATTTAGATCTTCTTTTGGACATATAGCTTGTTTGGGAGCGATTTTTCATCCAAAAAATTGATTTTTTGATCGTTATTTCACTATTTCAGCCATATTTTTTGACTTTTTCACTCACAAGTGGCATCCACTTTTTCTCTAATGGTCAAAAAATCAATTCTCAAAATCAATACCGAACATGACCCTAGTGAGGTCCAACCCTCTATTCAACTAAGGAATGACATTGTGATTTGACGAGAGTTAAAATGGATCATGCTATATGTATATCTTGGTTTACACTTTGTATGTTGGCAAATTTGGATACATTGATTTTAAATAAATAAATATATTTTAAATCATTAGTTAGATTTTTGGTACATAAAAAGTATCAATCAAAGTGTACACACTTGGGTGTACAAGTAGCCTTATTCATTTAAAATATGGTCATTTCCCATATGTCAACTTTTAATATTATGGTCATTTGAGTTCATTATTTTTTTTATACGCATTTTCATTCCCACATTATTTTAATAAAATAATTTTGCACACAAATTTTAAAATTTTCACTTTTTAACTACTATAGGAAAGTAGAATTCAAATTTTAATTTAAGTCAAAATCAACAGTTAATTTTAACCACATACTTTATGGAATAATGCTACAATACAGATTTTGACAGAAAAATATTATAGATGACACATGGCGCATCATCATTGGAAGATTGGAAAAAAAAAAAAACAATCCAATCATCTTTTGTCACATTAGTGTCGGTATATGTTCTATTAAATTTTTCATGTACTCATGGCTTTATTGTAATGATATTTGCAGTCATTTACTACATCAGTTGCTTATGTGGCATACATATGTTAGGTGGCTATTTATTGCATGAGCCATTAAAAAATTACCACATTAATATATCAAATAATCTCCTCTTATGTATATGCCATATAGGGTGACTGTTATAGTGAGCATCCACAACTTTTCAATGACACGTGTCATTAATTTTTATCAAAATTGATCAAAAATCTAATTTTAACGATGTTTGTCTTCCTTTAAAATAAAACTTTTTAATTCTTATACTTATTTTCAATAATACATTTATACAATAAAATATTTTATATATAAATCTAGAAAAATTACGCATTCTACAAGAAATTACTTTTCAAAATATCATTTTTTTCCCTCAATAATGACTTAGGGGCTAATTACAATATAGATTTTAACAATATAAAATAAAATAAAAAGTCCTGAGACCATAGCATCGATTGTTTCCAAATTCCAATACCGCTCGAATCTAGATGCGCCCTTATTTTTAAAACAATCATGATATGTTGTCTGAATTTTTTTGACAGCTAATTGACACTCACAGGGGGCCCACTTCTTTCTGGACTTTTTTAATTTAGATTTTAACAATATAAAATAAAATAAAAAGCCCGAAGACCCTAGCATCAGTTGTCTCCAAGTTCCAATACCACTCAAATTTAGACGAGCCCTTATTTTTAAAACAATCATGCTATGTTGCCTGAATTTTTTTTAACATAATAGTTGATCGATACTCACAGGGGCCCACTCCTTTTTGAACTTTTTTATTTACGCGGGACCCAATACCTATGTGAGATGTCATCCTCTCTGTCAAAAAAAATGAAATAAAAAATTCAGGTTTAAATTGGAATTGCATCAAGTCATACTTTCTTCCGCCGTTCTGTTAGGAATTGGCAAGT